AAAAATGTGTTAGATTTAGACAAGAAATTGCTCAGTGGTGATTTTCTTTAAAAGCGTACTTTTTTGTTGGTTCCCAAATTAGTTTGTCTCCTGTTTTGTATCATAGCTAATAACTCTTCATTGACTTTCAAACCAAAGAAGCAATCAAAATCGGTTGATCGAAGTTGCGATATTTCAGATAAGTGCCTAAATTCACACATACAAGCGATGAAATTTTAACACCACCCTTATAATAGTTTTTTGTTTAAATTGTCATGTTTTTGTTCTGTGGGAATCCAAAGAATTATCATTTTTCTAGATCGTTCAGTATGAAAAAGATGCGCAACAACCCAGAGAGCCACAATGGAAGATTGTGTATTAGTCAATTGTACAATGCGGTAGAAATGGATGCTTGGTCGTCACACCACCTTGATAATCAACTGCCAACAAATATCGATAGCAATAACGTCATTTTTGAGCATATAGATTGCTCAAGGAGTTTTAATAATCACGACATACCTGTATTGGAGTGTGAGCTTTTGTTACAAAACCAACTACCAAAATTGTACTCAGCATCTATTTGCATATGGAAATCGCTAAATGAATAATCCCCTCCCCTATTGTCAATTATCATACAACCGCCTTGCCTCTAGAGGAAAGTATCTGTTAGGAGCAAGCCCCGACGTGCCGCTTTCCGCACCAATTAACGAATTTGTGATTAGGATTAAAATATGTTCAATGCTGATTATATAAACCAACGTGTACAGAATGGTAATAGTAGCGTAACTCAGCGGTCAAATCAGTATCTTGCTAAGTTTCCCCCGGCCGGAGAGGCAGCCATTGATTTCCCGTATACTAGCCCTTAAAAATCAGAATGATAGAGAAATACTTTCCACATGCGTCGTGGTTCCACCAATGAGTGTCGTGCCGTGATCGCCATGCCGCCGAGACTGACGAGCGGTTGTAGCGAGCGGTGAGGTATTGGCGAGGGGTGAGGTTGGTCATAGCGACGTTGACAGATGGTCGGTGCTGTCGGTAGGTCGGGGAAAACTTTTCAGCACGAAACGCATCGAGTATTACCTGTGTCTGATGGAGGGCATCAGTGATAACGTTGCCGGAACTGTTAGTAAGGCAAGGAATAAATTTCTAGATCGCAAGGTTGTCAAATAGGTGGGGGCTATGGACTAACTATATTGGTCTGATTGAAAGAATTGATACATTAATTTTTTTATTATACATGTCCGTAATTTACTTTTTCCTGTAGGATACGAACCGTAATATGATAATAGCAATATAACGATAAACGTGAAAACATCTCATCTTAGAAGATTCCGAAGTACCGCCCCGTACCATTTCATTTTTACTACATGGGCAGTACGTGAACAGTTCGATATGGGCAACAATGTCAGGATAATATTAAAGTCATTACTTGGTGACGAAACGACAACGAGTTATCCTCCTTTGGCAAGCGATAAGGGCGATATGATCGGATTTTTAGAAAAAGACTTATGAGTATCTCCCGCATTCAACTCACTCATGACATCACATGCACAAATCTACTATTTACCATTACATTAATGTACCCCAACTACTACTACGGATTCGTCATCGACTGAATCACGGGATCGTCACACAGACTAATCCTGACCGTCACACAGACTGATCATTAAGTCGTCACACAGACTGACTATGAGTCGTCGCACAGACTAACTCGGAGTTTTCACACAGACTAACTCTAACTCTTTGGTCGCTAGGTGTATGGTCAGACGTGCCGAATTTAACGATTGTTACAAAAAGACAGTCCAGGAACCAGGATATCACGCTGGCCAAGGGTCGTTGTGTCAATACCCCAAAGCTCCGACGTTACCCCTGAATCAGAGGTAACCGAACAATATGACTATCATTAAAGTAACAATCCCTTCACATATCCTGCCATAAGGTACATTCAGACTCCAGCAATTGCCAAGAGAAGATAGTTAAGCGGTCATTCAGACCTAGGACGCCACTTCGGCCAAAGGCCACATCCAAAGCGCTCCGATGTTTCCCCTGGTAGAGGAAACCGAGCAGTAAGTAACATAACCTCAACCCAGCAAACGGGCTCCGAAAGTCCCATAACAGCCCCCCCAGAGCCTGGAGACGTCCCACCTGCAGATATTCAATAACAAGTCGTAAGCCGTAAGTTAAATTAAGAAGGTAAAAAGTATAGCATCTTTATAAACATGGCTTAAGACATTCATGATCATGAATATAAAAGTATTATGGTTATCAATCCATGCAGTACAGTAGAATAAAGGAAACACTCAGTGATTGCTCACCTTTCAGGTAGCCAAAACACTACACCCAATAGCACATCAACACTGTAATCAAGTTCACAAAGCGCACTACTTGGTCTGATAAGCGATCTCCTCCACGCAGTAATAGAACTGCATCGCCGTCCACGCCCGTATCTTTAACAAAGTTTATCCTGGGAGCAAGTACCCAGAGAAGGAATGGAATGTATAATGTAAACAGGCGTAAGGGCTGTCGCGCTGAGTGACACTAAGCGGCCTTGTGAACCTTCTGGAAAGGTTTTGTGTGCTACAGGGTTGTGTTTGAGATATTTCGTAAGCTTACATTCCATAAATGGGCTAACTTGTGCCGAAAGTAATCTTTTATGACCTGATGAGCGAACCTAACTGACGCGAACAAAACCTGCGGATCACCTACGACGAATGCTACCACCTTGTAGAGACAGTCCATTGCTAAAGAATGATGACATCTAAGAAGCTTGCCAGCATGACTTAAGATCACAATTTCTTGAAATGTTTTTATTGTATTGACACATGTGCAGATTGAACGAAAGAAATCTATCAACGACAATTTTACACGAATATACGGTATTCGGGTTGTCAGCGTCAGCTAAAAAATAGTTTATTTTGTTTTCATATTCATTATGTCACAAGACTATATGATATTATGTGATACATATTTGATAGGTTGAAAATAACAAGTCTTCATTTCCAACGATCTTGAAACAAGAGAGTCGCGCATAAACTGAGAGTTCACAGTCCATATATTGATAAATGTTATTTTTATGCAAAGAGGATGGGTTACAATTTTTCTTCTAAACAAATTCAAACATTTCGTATTTGTAAGTAATTAGCAACAAAAGATGATAGACACATCCGCTTTGTTTTAAAATGTGTATAGTAATGTACGTTTTTCGAATATCGTAGCACATTATTTGTTCAATTACTTACAAATACGAAATGTTTGAATTTGTTTAGAAGAAAAAAACGTAACCTTTGTTTTTCGTAAATAACATTCACCTTTCGGAATGTGGTTTGTGATTCATATCGGCAAGGCAAACATGTGTATTTTGCTATTAAATGCCCTTTGAACTAATCCTGTATATTGCTAAATAAACTAGTAGTAATGGCCGGAGAACAGGTGTTTTGGGATAAACAATTAGTAATTCTGAAAAAACTACTTGACCGATTTAATCCAATTTTATTGCTATTGCTATTATTTTGAGAAGTATGAACCCCACGGATTTGAAGAATTTCAAGTAGTTGCGTTAAATTATCGTCGCATTACCAACAAGTGCAAAAACCTGCATTTTACCTCGTTTTTTGGCCATAACATTTTTCCTATTAGTCTGATCTTTTTACGTGTGGTCTCATTTTATAGGTTTCATAAATACCTAAAAATCTTATATTTCCAAAAAACACGTTTTCTCATTCTTTGTTGTCGAATAAAAAGTTTTCCCACAAAAAATGGTGTGCCCATTTTATGCGTCCATGTTTTAAATACTCCCTTGAACAACTTGCACCAATAATACGAGACTTTACAATTATTTCGGGAAAATTTACTAATATGATTAGACTACAGGGTAACGGTTTTGTTTAGAAGCCGTAAGTCTTTTTGAAAGAGTCGCTTTCATTGTTTATGTTTATATTTTTTTATTATGAAGAAATGACAAAAAGTATACAGTATAAAAATGAAAAGATTATAAAATGCAACTGACATGAAAGCTGTGAGAGAAGTGACGCCAGGATAGTGATAAAAAATACATGACCTCGAGAACAATTAAGACACATTAATTATAATATTCTATGTGACTCAAGATTTTTGTATTCAAAAAGCATTTTTTTGTAGTTACAGTAATGTACGAGGAGAGATGTCTTTTAAGTTTTGCATATAGAAACATAGTAGCGGATCGAACGTCAGTACTGAATCTCAACCTCACTCTTTAGTAAACCTAAATTCAAAGTTTCACAACAATACAGTGAATTTTTAAGTGTCACCAAGTCATTAGAAAAATGGAACTCAATCGAGAAGATTTTCGCGCCATAATTTAATATTACTTTCAGAGACAATTATCGCAACAAGCATGCCCTGCAGAGTTACTGTTTGTTTTCGGCAACGAAGCGCCACATCAGTCGACAATTTCCCGTTGGTATGGAGAATTCAAACGTGGACGGGTGAGTCTTAGCGATGATTTCAGGGTGGGTGCACCAGAAACGGCAGTCACCCAGGAAAACGTCGATGATCTGCGCAAACTCATCATTGAAGAAAGACATGTGACATATCGCGAGATTGAGGCGTCCTTGAAGATCTCAAAGACCTCAGTTCAAAAAATTTTACATGCAGAATTAGGAGTAAGAAAATTAGTTTCTCGTTGGATACCCCACCTGTTGACTGAAGAGCAGAAAGCAGCCAGTTAATTGGTGACAAAAAACGCTTGACCGTTTCAATTCCGGAAACTCAAAAAATGTGTACAGCATTGTTAGTGGTGATGAATCGTGGATTTACTGTTATGAACCAGAAAATAAACGACAGTCGGCTGTTTGGATGTTCCAAGGTGAAGAAAAGCCAACAAAAGTCAAAAGCGTGTCATATTACAACAATTCCTCTTAATGAGCAAAGAACTATTACTGCGGATTGGTATACCACCATTTGCTTGCCAAAAGTCATCACCGAGCTTCGAAAAATCAACCCCGAAAAAAGAATCATCCTCCACCAAGACAATGCAAGCTCGCACACAGCCCAAAAAACAGGGCAGTATTTAACGGAAGAAAAGGTGGAATTATTGGACCATCCTCCATATAGTCCCGATCTAAGTCCTAACGATATCTTTAGTTTCCCGAAAATTAAAAACAGACTGCGTGGTCAAAGGTTCCAGTCACCAGAAGAAGCAGTTGACGCATTCAAAAATGCCGTTTTGGATCTGCCAGCAAACCAGTAGAATAAGTGCTTCGAAAATTGGTCCGAGCGCATGCAGATTCGTATTAATCTTCATGGAGAATACTTCGAAAAACAATAAAGTCATTTAAAACTACCTACCGTGTTGTTTTATTTCCATATGCAAAACTTAAAAGACATCCCTCGTATCAATTACCTACCACGGTCAATACTAGAACTACTGGCAAAAGGGTATCTGTTGACACTACGTGATCAACTGTCGCATTCCTGGATTCCGTAGGCCAAATAGCGCTAGTTTCAAACTATCAGTTCCTAATTTGCTGTGCATTAATCAAAGCCACATTGCGAATTTGTCAAATTTACACGTGCGGGTGACACATGTCTATCTAACAATACAAAAAATATTCATATATTCTTATAATAGTTGCATATACAGAGATTCATTGATATTTGTAGTGAAAGTCGGGCATGGAGCACACCAGGGGAGTATACAATTCGTTAACTATGAAGCATATTGTAGCAAAATCTTAATGGTTACCTTAATTTCATGATACGTTTCAAATAAACCATAATTTTTAACACTACTTGGATGGTTTTGACATACGGTAAGATTTTTTGGCGGAATATTGAAATTCCAAAGCATTCATATGGCCTTTTATGAAAAATATATCATTTCGTACTATTTAATTTTTTGACTGCAACAAATTCATAGAAATGTTTACGAAGTGACTATAGGGAACATTAAAATGTTACCTCAAAAATTCAAGAGGATACACTGTCCTGTTTTTGAAATATTCTCCTAGGAAATTAATAACCCGTCGTTTCCATCATATTAATATTTTCCCGTATTATATCACAAAGTGCTTAAAAAAACGTATGAAACTTGAGCAGCACTAAAACTAAAAAATTTACAATTCGTTTTCCTTGCTACTAGCGATGTTTGGCCGGTGGTAAAGGAGAAAGTTATGAAGCCTGAACACAAAACGTTTTTCGTCAGTGATGCAGCTATTTGTAGTCCGTAAACTTTATTTTAACCGTAGATTCATTGTAATGTCCGCCGCATTATATCCAATGACCAATGTAATGCCTCGTTTTAACGCTAATTAATTTGAATTCAAATGAGTCGTGAATCGACTCGAATTACCAAGAATGTGATTCGATCTATTTGGTCGTACAACACGCACCATTTACTGGTCAGTTGGAAACGGAACACTGACAATTACATGTTTCATGATATACGAAATAGATAACCGAAAAACGATCAATACTCAAAAATAGAGCAAGTTGGAGCAACAGTTCAGAAAAAAAAAATTACAACCGAGTAGAGCGTTAATGCTTACCTTCGGAGAGGGTGATATAAATAATACAACGGCAATTTTGATCGGCGTGGCACATCATGGTTCATACAGGTTCGTAGACTTAATATGAATGTGTGAATAAACGAATGAAAATAGCGACCTTTTTCGCGAACGGCACGTTGACCCTGCTCATCTTACACATTTCTTGTTGATTTTTCATGTTTGACTGAGTCCACCACCTTCATTAGATGGTTTTTTCTTTTTCCTTTTTTGAAGAGTTGTCTGTCTAAGGGCCAATTTCAACAACATTAATATTATGGACCAATAGGAAAATACCTTATCGAAATGCAATTTGACGGAAGGCGTCAAAGGTCTCAGAATATCAGTAATTTCTATTAAAATGTTTGATTCCAACATGATGCTTTTGTACAGAGAAAACAGGGCAACTCTCATGTATTTTGATTTATGTTATAGGTGTACATTTGACCATCCGTTATCCCCATAGCGAATGGGAATGGGAGAAATAATAGGTCGATTTTCTAGCTGTTAAATTTGGCAGCAGATTTGGTCGTTTGTTAATTCATGGCAATCTTGAAATTTGTTAAGTTCAATATACTGTGTGTATATGTGATCATTATAGCTACACATACCTGTTGAATTGTGCGGATTTGCAAGAAAATAGAATATAAAATGTATTCCAACAATTCCTCATCTCTCTTCACATCATAATAGTAATCATTTGTTATAAATTCATGGGTTGATGAATTTCTTCAAAGCAATCAAAACAGTATGATCGTCCCCATCCTAAAACACCGATATGTGTAAAACATGTTAATCCCTACATCTCCGAGGTGCATAATGCAATTACTGTAGACATAGACCTAAAATTATTAGTAATTACTGAAAAATAAGAGCTAAAAAGAATTATAAATAGTGATAAAATATTGGCGGTTAAGGTTTTTGACTGGTGACTGGTGAGGATACAATATAGGGATGGTGACGATAGACGATACATTGATGTATCGAAAACATCGATACATCGGACGTAGAACATCGATCTTTACGCATCGATGGTTTTATGACGATATATCGATATCGAGAGGAATCATAAACATGCGTAACCGAGTGTATCCTTAACTGTGCTACCATCTCTAAGCGAAATTGAAAGGCCAGAAAGATATTTAGGTGTTTAGTAGTATTTGAATATTATCATTACAGACGAGCACTGAGCCTCTGAGTGGCCACTGAGCTGTAGTCTTTTCTTCATTCTGTACTTCCCCAAGGGATAGAATAAAATAGACTGAAAACAGCGCGTTTAATGATGTTCAGTTCTCAGAGAAAGATTTTCCCCTGCCGGCCCTTGACATCGTTTCAAAATATGAAATTCTGGCAACGCTATAAAAATGAAAATGAATACATAAAGCCTACTTACCTATTTCAGACAAAAACAAAAACAACTGCCACATAACGATTGTCACCTTGACATCATTCTGCAATCTGTCAAAGTAGTGATGGGCGTGCCTGCTGCATGGTATACGCGATCGATATTCGATAAAATATTTTTCTTTCTACCATGAATGCGTGGAAAAAACAATATAAGGAGAGATCTAAAATAAGGAGTTATTGAAGGCCTAAAATAGCCAGGCGCTAATAATTCCTGGCCGTATTTGAATATCTAAGCAGGCACAGTAAAACAAAAATAAGACTTGGAATTAATAAAGTTTATTTCGACAGTTGGCAGAGATGGCTCCACTGGGACGAAGTGTTGACGGATCCCACAGAATTATGTGTCACTAGTAGATATGGTTAGTTTTGAAATATCAGGAGATAATCAGCTGTTATTCAAATCAGTGTATATGTTTTGTGATTCAAATAACGTCTAATATAAATATACCCCAGAATATGTACTCAGTGAAAAAAGAAAAATATTGCAAATTTCTAGTTTTTCTGCAGGTCTTAGGTTTGCTGGTAGCTCTACGACATATATTTGGGTATTTCTTAATCGCTGTGAATATAGTGTGGATGTTTGTTAAGTTCCTGAACAACGAAAAGTATTCAACTTTATGGATGTATGGATATTAAAAAACCAGAATGGTTTTGTGGGAATATCAATCTAAGGTGCCATAATGGTTCTGATGAACGGCAAGTAAATGAATGAATGTTTGGAAACGAGCAATATCTATGAACTTTTTGGTAGAGCCAGTCATCAAGTAGGTGCTTAATGACTATCTGCAAGAGGTTTATAGGGAAAAACACCCAGTAGATGATCTTGAATCAGTAAAATCGTATATCAATTGAAGAAAATAATATAAACTAGAATAAAAAATCAACAATAGTAATTAAATCATGAATTTTATTCAAAAATCAAACATTTGTTTAAATTTTGACTGAATTGTATATGTAATTTCTTAATATTCAATAAGCTGATGATGTTTCAGTAACAAGATGTCATCTCATACTTTGACAGTATTTTTTTTTCAACATTTCATAGCTATTGGTTGTTAAAATTTGTTGATTGGAACTTGAAGCTCATTCGCTGTATTTACGGGCTGTTACCCTATAGGTAGAGAATAACGGACTATTGTTGGTGAAATTGGCCCTAAATATAGTAAATCAACCATGTTCTTTCCCTTTTCACTCAATATTGTTGCGCATTATAAAAAAAAGTGAAGTAAAAACCCTAAAGTTGCACAACTTGTTTATAGGCCAAAGAAAAGCCACTATTAATTCCACTGAAAAAGAAAAATCGGCTTAGATGGGCTAAAGAACATAGACAATGGACACCTCAACAATGGTGTGCAATACAATGGAGTGATGAGGCCCGATTCGAAGTTTTTGTTAGTGACAGTCGCAGTAAGTTATTCGCAAAAAAAAATGAAGCATTCCATGTTGACTGTCTGAATAGAAAAGTGAAATTTCCTGCATCCATTATGGTCTGGGGCAGTATGTCATCAAAAGGAATAGAAAAACTTCATTTTATTGATGGAAATGTGGATACAAACAAATATTTGGCAATTTTAGAAGAATCGCTTTTACCAGTGATGGAAGAATGTTTGACATCCGGCCAAGATTTTGTGTTTCAGCAAGATGGTGGCCATACCTCAAAAAAAGCTATAAAATGGATGGAAGAAAATAATGTACCACTTTTGAAATGGGTTTCTAGTAGTCCAGATCTGTCACCTATTGAAACTTTGTGGCACCAGATGAAAAAGGTTCTACGACAACATCCTGCTCGTACAATCACCGAACTGAGACAAAAGCTTCAAGAAATATGGGATTAATATACACTAAATTTTTGCCAAAACTTGGTTAATACTATGCCCCAAAGAATTTCAGCCGTAATAAAAAATAAAGGTGATGTTACCTAGTGGTAATCTTTTAATTGTTGCTTTGTTAACTTCGCGCATTTATTCGCACATGTTTATTTGTTCAGATGTTCTACTAGTTATAGGTCTAAGTGATTTCAAATATGTATTTTTTACGACTATGAAAATGTTTTTGAGAAAATAAATTGTTTTAGAAGTAAATAGTTTCATCATGTTTAGTTTATAAAGGCATATTTTGGTACAAATTTTGAAGTGGGCCAACTGAAGTGGGAAGGGGCTCGTATTCCTGATGGAATAAGCGTTGTGAAGTATGAATATTTCTTTGATGCTGTCGAACAGTTGGACTTGATGGTGGTCATTCTATATTCTTTGGAGACTTCCATGCTCTTCGCTTTGTTGAG